ATATATATATATATATATATATATATATATATTTGTGAAAATATATTTATCAAGGATTGAATTATGACATGCAGACCCCTCCTACTTTAAGGGAGAGAGAACTGCATTCTCAGGTGATCCAGTTACAACAAAGGTATGTTGCTGATGAAGATGCATTAGCCATTATTTTATTTGTGCTACACATGGACATTTTTTATTTAAAGAAATGGTTTATATGTTTGCAGCATTGGGAGTCTGGTTGAGCAATTGCAAAGACAGAAGATGAGAAACGATCAGGTTTGTTTACATTCTAACAATAATTTTTTATTAAACATTATTTTAGATATCTGATAGACAGTGTAAGCCTGTAAGGAGTAATGATAAGTTATCATTTGTTGTGTCTTTTGTAGTTGGAAAAGAAAGTGAGTGAATTGGTGAAGAAAAATAGCATTAAGGAAGTATGATGATGATGATGAAGAGTTGGTGATGCAATTGTAAGGAACATGTAACATATTAAATTTTTTGTGAATATAAGGCCGGGGGAATACAGGGAATTATGGTAGATTAAATGAATTCCCCCAAAAGATGTTGAAAGTTATGCAGAAAGATGGGTTGGGTTGGGTTGGGTTGAGTTGGGTTGTGTCTCGTCCTCTACAAGAGAAGAGTGACTGTTGACCAACAAGACTTTTTGTCTTTGGTTTTAGACTTTAGATCCTATCTTCATGCAGATTTGGTAACTGGTTGAAATAAGTATTCCAGACTAAAGGTTTGTTTGGAACAATGGAATGAAATTATAAGGGTTAAAATTAATAAAACGAGAAAGGTAATGGAATGCCTCATGTCATGGCATCCTATTATCTGGTTTTGATTGAATGAAATGACTCCGACATATTGTTTATTATGGATAATAAGAAACCTAAAAGAAATAAACTTGATAAATAAGCAAAATGTTATTATTATTATTATTTTTTTTCAAAAAAACATTGATCAATAAGAATATTCTGTTAAATAAATCTTATTTTACACATGTATACTATTGTTTGAAATCTAAACTATGTATATGTGAAATACTTTAAAAAAGATTATTTACTACTTAAAAGAATTGTCTATAAAAACAAATAATTTGAAAGGTAATTATAATAAAAATATATGTATAGTTTGTTAGTTTTGGAAAAAAAACAATCATTTGAAAATTTGCAAATATTAAAGATCGTTATTGTTGATAAAAAAAAAATATCTAAATTAAAACAGTCATAATATATCAATCCATTTCCGTTGAGGAATGAAAAAAAAAACGTTCCTCACCTATGCACTGGAATTCCATTTTCATGCGGTAAATAACCATAATGTTATTACTGCGTACCAAACAATACCTAACAGTTTTTAAATCCCATATCAAATCACACAAAATCCCAAGTAAGAACTAAAACTGAATCAAGAAATCCCAAGTAAGAGCATCCAGTAAGCATCATTTACCACAATCTGTTCTCAATCACAGCAGAAACGATTCCTTTGAGAGTCTCCTGAAACATCAAAGAACATATTATAATCACTAATGTTGCATATTCTCTAGTAAAACCAATCAAATTCAGAAAGCTACCATGGAATGGTCCTTGAGACCAAGTGAAAGCGTCAATGGTTTTGAAGAGCCAGAACTACTGAAAAAATAACACACCTCGAGATTCAGGGTTAAAATCAAAATTAGACATTATACTGTATTGAATTTGTGCTCACTAAATTTTGTGTAAGTTGTAAAATGTCACTTAATTGTTATTTTTTATTTAAAGTGGTCACTCCACCTGCTACAACTTAAACAAAGTTTAGTTACTAATGAGCACAAATTCAATATAGTTTAGTGTCTAATTTCGACCTTAACCCAAAGATTAATCACTATAACCAATTTTATTGTTTAAAATGGGATTGAAAGTTGAAACAGACCTTATATGTTCAATAAGCTGGCGTGCACATGCCACTAGCATAGGCTGCAGGTCAACCATTTCAGTGATCAAGTCAATATGATGAATAGTAACAGTGGTATCCACTTCATAAATCATAAGGCAGCTTACCTCATCTCGTTTACCAAATATCACAGATACATTGAAAGTAGGATTATTCAGCATCCCTTCCTCCTTCCTATTAAACACGAAAGAATGATAAAGTGAATACACAAATACCAGTCAGTTTAGAACCC